CACACATACATGCCACATACATCTGCATACACATATGCACACATACACACACAGTAACAATTATTTGGGAACCTCTTACCCTGAGATTTGATATATTTATCATTCGGGTATCTTAAAAGACAAAAAGATGACAAAATAATTGAATTATTTATAAACTATTTTTTGTTATGATTACATATCTGAGTATCGAGAACAGCAGAAAAGAACACCGTTAGGGCAAGTCAGCTGTTATTAGTCCCATTCATACTAAGCATTAATGATTGAATACACCATAATAGATTTTTTAGACCTTCTACCTATTGAAATTATGGCTAGGGGTGAGATGATAGGATGAGAGGCTGTACGTTTCCAAATCAATCTTGCAAAATGATGTTTGGACCTTGGTTGGGTCCCAGTCATTCCATTAGTTAGTCATTCAACAAGTACTGCATTGAGCACTTAACTATGCCAGGCTCTATTCTCCAGTGTGTGAGGAGTGTATGCGTGACACTGACTTGCCAGTGGGGAACAAGGTACCACAGAGGCTTCTACCTGGTCCAGGAAAGCAGAATGCAACCCTCAGATCTAAAAGAAATTAGATAAATCAGATGAGAACACCAATAGCTGCTGGGAAGAGGGTCAAGCCAGGGCACGCCTTCCTCTCTCGGCTCATTTTTGATTCTGAACTTCCCCTTGTGAAAGCCCTCCAGCTCAAAGCCACTTCAATACTAATGGCTATTCTCTCAGGAACCCAGGAGCCCTGAGGTACTTTGTTTGAGTATCATGTGTCCTACTTCTCAGGAAGCACTGACAGAGGTCCTGCTCTATGGCCAGGCATCATCGGGATAGATCATGTATACGAGGCAGGCAGAACCTGAGGGAAAATGAGTCCTTCATCACCTGTGGGCCCAGAAATCTGGTCTCTGGGGACTGGATTCTAGAACTGTTGCTAACTGCCTGGACCAGTGGTTTGCAACCTTCCTAACCCTGCAGTCTTTTAATACAGCTCATGTCATGGCAAGCTCCAAACATAAAATTATTTCGTTGCTAATTCATGACTATAATTTTGCTACTTTTATGAATCATAATGCAAATATCTGAAGTGCACGGTATCTTATATGTAAGATATCTACTTTGTGAACCCACGGGTTGAGAACCACTGGTCTGGACTAATCCAAGGGGAAACAGCAAGAGAAGATGGGATGGGATAACAAAAAGCCACATCTGTCTCTCTGTCCATCCGCCCTTCCTCCCTTCCTTTCTTCCTTCCTCCCTTCCTTCCTTCCTTCCTTCCTTCCTTCCTTCCTTCCTTCCTTCCT